ATTCAATTCAGGACTTTGACTAGGCCACTCCAGGACATTCACTTTCTTCTTTTGAAACCACTCAAGTGTGGCTTTGGCCATGTGATTTAGGTCATTGTCCTGCTGAAATTTGAATTTTTGACCCAATTTTAGATTCTTGGCTGACTCAAGCAAGTGTTTCTCTAGGTTTCACCTGTACTTTGCATCATCCATCTTCACCTCAGTCCTGACAAGTTGCTGATGAGAAGCATCCTCATAACCTAATGCTACCACCACCATGCTTGACAGTTGGGATCGTATTGACAGGACGATGTGCAGTGTTGGGCTTACACCAGATGTAACACTTCGAAGTTAGACCAAAAAAGCTCAATTTTTGTCTCGTCTGACTATGAAACCTTCTGTCACATTTCTGCAGTATCATCTACATGCTTTATTGCAAACTCCATACAATGTTTAAGATGATTCTTTTTCAGTAATGGCTTCATTCTTGCCTCTCACCCATACAGACCAGCTTTACGTAGTGACTGGGATATCGTTGTTGTATGAACACTGACTCCCATCTCAGACATGGAACTTTGCAAATCTTTCAAAGTCACTGTTGGCATCACAGTGGCATCCCTAATCAGTTTCCTGCTTGCTTGGCTGCTTAGTTTGGAAGGGCAGCCTGATATGGGTACTGACTGGATGCTATGAAGCACATTCCACTTCTTAATGATGGACTTCACCGTACTCAAAGGGATAATCATCAATATTTAAATTTTCTTGTGACCTTCTCCTGATCTGTGCTTTGCTACCACTTTATCCCTGACTTGTTGGGAAAGCTCCTTGGTCTTCAAGGTTTGTATGTCTTTTCACTATGTGAGTTGTGGCTTGAACAGATGCATTTACTTTGCACAGTTTCATTATCTGGTAGATGTAATTGTCAGTAGTATTGTTAGCTGCTTGACCCCTGATAGCTCTTAACAGTTTTTTCTTAGCTAAATATGTTAGTTAGAGAGACAGTTAAATTGTATTTAGGTTTTAATTTTATATCTTAGTTAATTATATATTCTTTGTTTTAAAATGCATAATTGAAAGATTTAAACATTTTCAAAAAAATACAAATTATACTTTGCTTCAATTCTCAAAGCTTAAGATCTTGTGCCAGGATAAGATAATTTTGCTGAAGGTTTGTGCATCTCTGCTGGAGATACTGTAATTATGTCCTGAGGGTACTGTTGACTTGTGTCAAGATGAATAATAAAAGATAAAGGACAAGAAAGGAAAATAAAACATTAAAAATTAACTATATGTGAAGACCTGAAATTACAAATATAACTAAAAGATCTTTTAAGATATTCTATCAAAAATTAAAAGGTATGTACATGTTTTCTATTTTTTAATTTTAAACCTTTCATTGCACTTATGTTGATGATAATATGAACAGTTAGTGATATGGTAGAGAAAATGAAAAATGAAATATAAACATCTACCTTCAAAATTTTGGATAATTATTTAGAAGGTTCTAGAGGTTATGCAAATACAACTGTAAAATTAAGAAAAGTATTTTTATACTTAAAATGAAAATCACCTTGCACATGAACTATTAATAGTTTGAGTGCAATTAACTACAGTAGATAAATAACATATTGTTAGTATGAATACCGAATTAAAATAATGCCATTCTTTGTGTACAAGATACTTATAATCTTTAACAAAATCTTACCAGTTCTTGTGAGGATATATTAGAAATCTCAGAGTAACAGTATGTTTTCTTGCACTCATATAATTCCCCAGATGGTGTCATTATTTTACACTATCCCACTGAGAAAGAGTTAATCAACTTGTTCATGTTTCACTTGGGAAAGTAAACCCTGTAAAATATAAAAGAAGAAGCCAACATGTCCGAGAGCCACATACTTAAGTGAATATTTAATATACAATATGATTTATTTTACATCTTTTAAACCTGTAATGTTTTGCATATTCTGCTGGAATTCTTTTCATGATGTCCTTTTAATTATCAGCATACCTTATACCAATTCTGGTCTATTTGTAAAAGGTGGATAATAACATAGGTTTGATTAGTTTTCAGCCAAAGAGACATAAATGTTATCAGATGCTGTCACCATCTGATGGGTAAATTGGGATTTTTGGCTGAATGCTAGGAGTATCTGCTTGGATTTAAGGAGTTTATAAGTAAAAAAATAAAATAAACCAATGTAGCACAGAATAAATTATGAATATATAATTGGTATTGAAAACTCGCAGCTTTCATAGTATGAAACAAAATTTTCACATTTTCTGATGGTCATCTTAAACTCCAGATTTCAGGGTTTTGTTATTTTGTTTAGTTGTGTATAAGTGAAGTTTTGAAAATTCAAATGTTTGAATGTAAAAAGTTATAGTTAACTTTTATATCAAACTGCTTAAATTTCAAACCTCAAAAATGGTAGACAGTTTCAACTCTAGTACAGATACAATTTATAAAATATTCCTGATTTTTAAGTTTTTCCAACATGCAGTTATCAGAAAGAATATGAAATAAGTTAATTTTTAATATTTTATCATAATTATGAGAATCTTTTATTTGTATGACTACTGAATTCAAGTAATGTACATGACAATCACATAAAAACAGCTTGTGAAAATATACTTTACAAAGCGAGAATTAATAACAGTACTTTTAGTTGATTTAGCTATAAAATTTAAAATGTAGTTTTGTATAAAAGTAGATAAATTACAGTATAAAGTTGTATTGAAAACATAAAGAGACTCGTATTTATGAGTTCCATTAAGACTAAAAGTCTCAAATTGAGATTTTTTTATAAAAAAGAAAATTTGTTTTTATGTATGTGACAGTAACTAATGAAAATAACTTTTTAAAAAGCTTTTCAGATGTTGAATTCTAATTTTAAAACAATTTGGTTTATCAACCATATGAAGCAACACACCCTCTTATTCTTCTGAGGTTCATTCGATCAGAGTTAATAAATAAGTTTTGTAATTAAAGTTGTATTTGATTATAGATGAATTACCATTTTTATTATTCATATGCAATTTTTTGCTTTAAATGTTTTAGAAAACGACACCAGCAGTTTCGATCTGGTCCAGTTAATCATGAAGAAGAAACTAGTAATCTACAGAGGATATCTATGGTTTCAACAAGGTCTACACGTCGTAAGTACAGACAGTGTGCTGAGTCAGATAACACCTATATAAGATTCCTATTTTTACTATCAGTAAGTTCTATAAAATTGCATTACTTATGATAGGCCAAAATCCAATATTATTTGTTTGAACTGCATATGTTATTTCTAGTGTATTTGGGCAGTTAGTCATAAAATTAAAATACCTCCATCTCCCAACATGCAAAATCATAGGTGAGGGAGGAAAAAACAACAATATATAGACGTGTGTATGTGCTTGAACATTAAGATGATTTTCTGTGTAAGAAATATAAAGTTTCAAAATTAGATTAACCTTTCTGCTGTTCTATAGTTTGAATCGTTTTAAAATGTTGCAAAAACTTAGAAAATTGGACATTTAAGAAAAACTGCAGCATAAAGTATAAATCTGAAAACAAAGTAGTGCCATTATAACATACCAGTTTGGATGGGTGGGTTCAAAATATGCATGTTATGACTTTTTAGTTACATTAAAAATTTAGTTAAGCTACTTTATTATCATCATATATCAATAAACTTGTAATTGAAAATTGTAAATAAATTAAATTTCAGTATTATATAGATCTAATTTCTTAATTCAAAACAAAGTATTAAAAAAATACTACAATACCAGGGCAGGAAATTCACAGCAGCCTTAGTACCAATTACCACCATATTTTTCAAAATGGCCATGGTACCTTCAGGAAACCACTAAAATCCATGGCCATGATGGCCACCCTTTGGTATCTCTTTGGCCGTCATGCTCTCATGAGCTGAATTTATATTGCCTACCACAGTAAAGGGAAAACCATTGGGGATCACAAACACTGGACCTACAACCTACAGAAACTACCTTTTTCTTAATAATATATCACATAAAATGCACAAATTGATGCTCAAACATCAAACCTGCAGAGCTGACACAAAGACCCACAGCAACAGCAGTACATGATGATCAAAGTCAGCTCGTACATTGGCTTTTCAGAGTGAAGTGCATGACTGCAAATACTCCTTACATTAACATCCTGAAAAAAATGAACGAGTTAAGATGGAGAATACTGTAAAACTTTTTTCTGCGATGGTCAAGTGCCAGAAATTGAAACTTTTCTTTTTTTATCAATAAATATGT